ACATATTTTTGCTCCACGATACGAACAAAAACTCACCATACGACGTTACATTAGTTCGCATTTTTCATTTGTTTTTCTTACTACAGTTATTTTTTTAATGTATTACTTGGCTTTAATTTGAGTATGTTTTTCGCGTTGGAACGAATTATTTGGTTTTACATATAATCGTATGGGAAAAGATGATCCACCTTACGACATTTTCATGATACGATCTCAGTTTCGGAACGGATTAATTTCGTATCCTGAGGTACCACTGTATATTATTAAAGAAACTTTAAACTCTAAAAATCATGAGATTCTATAAAAAACGATTCAATAAAAAACGTTTAGTAAAAACTACTAAAGAAACTCTAAAAATTATTAGCAATGTTAAATTGCTAAATACAAGTAACCTTTATATAACACGATACTTGTAGGACTACTATGCAGTTTCGATATAACACGGTTCACAATTCTATTAATCCATGTATAACGTGGTACTTATACAATGTGATTTCGATATAAAAGTACTGTACATATGAAATCATCTGTTTATTCTTGAAAAAATGTTCTTTCAGTTATTACAACATAGTATAGTAAATATCGCTCGCACTTTTAGAGGAGAAGATTTTTATGATATGGATGAAAATGATATTTATGAATTAATGAAGTCAAAGATTTGAATGAGAAAGAATTGGTACAATTAATAGATGATGTTGACCCAAAGTATCTTGAAAATATCGATGGAAACTTTGGATAAATTATTTATCCAAAGTTTCTAGTGAATCTGTCAAGAAATTTACTTTAAAAAATTAAGAGGATTGCACTTGGCAAGAAAGTTACGAAATTATTTTGCGGGTAATGATCCTCCATCCAGCGCTCCAGCAAATTTCAAAAACAATTGGAAATTTGTTTAGAATCATATAACGAAGTTCAAAAACAATTTCAACAATGTACTCAGCAGACTCTCATAACCGACTTCTTGAAAACTAAACCAGCAGAAGATTCCGAAGAAGTTGAAAGTTATAGCAATGTCCAAAAGATTTCAAGCGATGAAGACATCCAGCTATTGGCAGATAAAGAATGCTGTTTTGGAAGATAGTAGTGAAGACGACTACAATTTATTTTTTAAGTGCAATAAAAGATTATTATGTACTCTACAATTCTTTATTTTACGAATTTTAATAAGTTCTTTTCGTTATGTAATTCATGTAATAATGAAATTTTCTGAATTAAATAAAATTGTTTTTCTTTCCCTATAGACACAATTTATATTTAAAAAATCGTTTTGGAACATAAACCCACTTTTTGTAATGCGAGTTTCACATAATGCGATTTTTATAACACGACATTTTTGTGGAACCTAATTACTGCGTTATTCGAGGGTTACCTGTATATATAGGCCTATATATATAACATCTTTGTTTTCTTTGTTTCATACGTAAACATCCAGTTGCTTTATATCTTTTTTTTATTTCATGTAAATAAAGTAGTTTAGTTCTGAATTCAATTTAATTCACCCCTCCGAATCATATTCATCTGCTTTGATTTCCTGTACCGGAAGAAACTGATCAGAAGGAGTCTCTCTCCTGGATGTTCCTCGATGCCATCCTAACTTCGCGCCTTAAATGAAGAATAAGGCAAATAATAAAATTAAAAAAGACAAACAACCGTCTTTGTACCTGTATCTATGACGACTTGTGGCATTTTTGAAGTTAGTACACTTGCAATTCATTATTTGCTTAAGAGCTTTATTACAGTTTTTTTTTACTAGTTGGAAGATAATAGAGAAGAAGAGGGAAAGAAGTAGCAAGTCGTTATAGTGAAATGAAAATTGCAGAAATTCTATCGCTGTGAACGGACAGAAAGGAAACGTTAAAGTTCATTATAAATATATTCATACAATTGAAATATTTTGTCGTGGGTTCCTAGGGAGGTTAATCAGGAAAAATCTAAAAGTTCTTTATAATGAGTTTCGACTGTAATTTCTCAATTTTGAAAAAAGTTGTTATAAAAAGTGTTTTTTTGCACTAAAATCAAAATAAAAATGTTTTTTTTATAATGAAAATTATATATTATTCTTGTGTATTTAATTATCAGTAAAATAATTATAAACATGACTTCTAACACGATAACTTATGCATAAATTGCTGAGAAGTTTTGCATTTATTATTTATTTACATCAAATAAAAATTGAAAAACAATATTTTATCAAATTTAAACTTATTCTTCAAAAATAGAATCTAATTTTCTAATCTTTCAATACTTAAAAAAAAGCAATTTTAAAAGGCCCTTCTTTATAAAATAATCAATAACCAGAAAGTGTTGCATAAACACAAATGTAGTGCAAAATTGTTGATAGTTTCCTATATTATTCTCTATATAACATGATATATAAATTTCTGGATACGATTTTTATTAGAAAACATGATATTCAGCAAAAGATATAAAAGAAAAAAAATTGAAACTCTTCTTCAGGCGGAAACTCAATACAAAAATAAAGATACAACATATTGGTTTCAATTTTAGTGTCAGATATTTCAAATGGTTCAATAACT